GCTTGACGCTTGTTTAATGTTTTAGAAGCTGCACGTGCAGCAAGTGAAGATGACTGTGATGAAGAATTTGTTGCAAGTTAGGGGTAGGAGCCGAAGAAAGATGAGACTGTCTGCACCCACAAACACTGGCAGCCTCAGAAGCCCACAGGAGCAGTTCTACTCCACCCTACAAAGTCTTTTAAGAGTCGGAATCCACTTAGTGGCAGAGGGCTGAGGGGCGGCCAGCTCCTGTTGGTTCTTTTTTCAAAGTGAAGGCAAAATTACATAGCATCAAAGCCAGGCTTCAAAGATGGCAGCCCCCCCACCCTGCCCCCACTCAAAGATGGCAGCCAACCATACTGCTTTGAATATGCATTGTTGTTAAGTGCCATCCAGTCAGTTCTAACCCATAGCAACCCTGCTTCATGGAGCAGCTGGTGAGTTTGAACCACCGACCTTGCAATTCTAATGACTTTGCAGTCCAGCGCATTAACCCACAGCACCACACCAGGACTCCTTGAATATGTGTGGCTCTCCACATTTCTGGCAATAATTAGTCTCCTGCATTAGGCTCCTGGAAGGGCTCACTATATACCTCTCCTGAGTTTCCCATCCCAGAGCTTCAACTTGCAATGTTTCCTATTCCAGTTACCATCACGAATCACCCAGAATAGAAGTTTCCAATCTGTTCCTGTTTCTCTTCATCAGTCATAACAAATGTTTGGAAACCCTAGAAGACAGATTTGTCCATAAGTCAGATGTGGTAACCTAGGGGCTGCCTGTATAAAGTATATTTTCAATCTGATTATACTTTCCATGAAATAGCATTTTTAAAAGGATTTAAGAATATTCCACTCAAAATAGCCAGTGTTAAAAAAAAAAAAAGTTTATATGAGTAAGCCCTGTTAAAGTATTTATTTATCCAAAATGTCTCTTTTCCCCTGAATAGCCAAACCAATTTTAAAGAACTTCTGTTTGCAAAACATACTGTACAGCTACAACAATGAAAATACCCTGCACTAGTATACTAGACACATAGACCAGCAAAGGACTCCTGGTTTAACAACAACAACCAGACCAACAGAGAAGAATTCAGAGTTAAGCAATAAACCCACATGTCTGTATTTAACTGATTTCAAAAAGGGTGCTGAGTCCATGGGGAAGGAAAAACCTCTTCAATAAACGGTCTGGGAAAATGGGGTACCCACATGCAAAAGACTGAATCAGGATCCATGCCTCACACCATACACACAAGTAAATTCAAAATAGATCAAGACCTGAAACACATAAAATTCTTAGAAAAAAAGTAGAAAAGTATGGCTGTGGGGTCCAGTTTCTGAGAATGGATTATCAGCTATAAAAATAAAAAAATAAAAATAAAAGCAACAAAAGACACACTAGATCAACAGGACCTCATAAAAAATGCTTTTGTTCATCAAATAACGATTTTTAAAAAGTGGAAGGACAACCTACAGATTAGAAGAACATTCTTAGGCACCATATAGCCAATAGGAGTCCTGGTGTGAAACTATAGGGTAAGCAATGGACTGCTAACCACAAGATAAGCATTTCAAACCCACCAGCCACTCCTTGGAAACCCTATACAGGTTTGCTATGAGTTGGTACCTACTCGACGGCACTTAATGACAAATATATCCTATGAAGGTCTAATATTTACAGGCAGTCCCGGTTACAAATGTCTGACTTAAGGGCACAACTACTCACCCTTTGATGTTCTGTCAATTTGCCTTCACTTTGAAGTGATCTCACTTCACTTAACAACAACAATAACTGGAAAGGAGTCCTGGTGTGGTGCTGTGGGATAAGCACTGGATTGCTAACCACAAGGTCGGTAATTCAAATCCACCAGCCGCTCCTCGGAAACCCTAGACTAGTCCACCAGCCGCTCCTCGGAAACTCCTAGACCTAGAAGGTCTCTAGACACTTCCCAACAACTGGAAACAATTCTGCATCCCAGTCAACTTCACTTTGCTGCTGCTCATGCAACGTTTAAATCATGAAGAGGCATTGGGTCTCTTCTTGCTCTAAAACAAAAAAAACAAAAAAAAAACCCACTGCCATTTAGTCAATTCTGACTCATAATGACCCTACAAGATAGACTAGAACTGCTTCTTAGAGTTTCTGAGACTAAATCTTTAAGAGAGCAAACAGTCTCATCTTTTCCCTGTGGTGGGCTTGAATTGCCAACCTTGTAGTTAGCAGCCCAACGCCTAACCCACAGCACCACCAGGGCTCCTTCTCTTGCATTAGAAACAATAAAAAACAACCCATTGTCATTGAGTCTATTCCTATGCATAGCAACCCTAAAGGACTGAGTAGAACTTCCCCTTTGAGTTTCTGAGACTGTATCTTTACGGGAGCAAATAGCTTCAGTTTTCTCTCAAGCGGCTGGTAGGTTTGAGCAGCTGACCTTGTGGATGATAATGGGATTAACCTGTTCTGACTTACCTACACATTCTTAAAGATAGGAATGGATCTCATTTGTACCCCTAAGGAATGCCTGCTCTTGGAAAATTGGAATTGAAAGGTAATGGAATTTTTCTAGGAACTTTTTGAAGCCTCTTCATAGAACTTATAAAACTTAACAACAAAAAGACAAACAACTCAATCAAAGAATGTGCAAAGGATTTAGCCACTTCACCAAAGAGGATATTCAAATGGCCAAAAGACCTATGGAGAATATCTCAACGTTGGTTAGCCATTGCTGTTCAGTGCCACACACAGTGATGCAAATCAGAACCACAATAAGAAATTCCACTCTAATTAGAATGGTTAAGATTATAAAATGGAAAATTACAAATGTGAGTCAGACGTGTGGTTCTGTAGGATAAGCACTGGACCACAAGGTCGATTTGAACTGCAAGGTCAGTGATTCAAATCCATCAGCCACTCCTTGGAAACTCTATACAAAGTCTCTGTGAATCGGAACTGAGCTGATGACACTTACTACAACAATCCTCTGCCAATGGGAATGCACAACGGTGCAGCGCTGTGGAAAAAAGTTAGGCCGTTCAAAACATTACATATTTTTTTAAAATTTTTTAAGTCAAACTACCATCTACCCCAACAATTTCACTCCTAGGTATATACCTAAGAAACTTGAAAGTAGTCACAGACAGACACATTTACCCCAATGTTCCCTGCAGCTCTATTCACAGCAACTGGAGGTAAAAACTGTCCATCAACAGATGAAATGGATTCAACAGCATTTAAAAACAACAGTAACAACAGTGTCTAGAAACCAAAGGCTATCGGTGGTTCCCAGGGTAGGCAAGGTGCCCTGGTGTACTAGCAGTTAAGTTTTCTGCTGCTAACTGAAAGGTTGGAGGTTTGAACCCACCCAACAGCTACAAAGAAGAAAGACCTGGCAAACTGCTTCTGTTAAGATGTTGTTGTTGTTCTGTGCCGTGGAGTCAGTTCAGTTCTGACTCACAGCGACCCTGGTACAGGGTTTCCGAGGCTGTAAATCTTTACGCAGCAGAAAGCCTCATTTTTCTCCCACGGAACAGCTGGTAGTTTCGAACTGCTGACCGAGAGGTTTTCAGCCCGATTCGTAACCACTACGCTACCAGAGCTCCTTAGATAGCAGTGGAAAAAACCTTACAAGACAGTTCTACTCGTCACATGGGGTCACTACAACTGAATGGCAGAAGACAATAGCTGGGACAGGAGGGAGGATAAAAGAGAGAGACGTTGTTCAGGAAGCGATGAGTTTGAGTTTATGCTGATGGGAACTTTGGTGATGACTACTTGGCACTGTAGGATCAGCACTGGACTGCAAGCCACAAGGTCGACAATTCAAACCTACCAGCTGCTCCTCGGAAACCCTAACAGGTTTGCTAAGAGTCAGACTGATTTGACAGCTCTTAACAACACAAGTGATGATTGCACAATATGACTAACGTAATTGTTCACTAAACTGTTCACTGAAAATTTGGGATTTGAAACATTTGTTTCCAATGTTCTGTGTCTAGAGAACACATACGAAGAACACAATAAAGAGTGCCAGTGGCCCTATGGGTTAGGTGTTGTGCTGCTAATCTCAGGGTCCAGGTTCAGCAGTTCAAACCCATCCGCCACTCCCCAGATGAAAGATGAAGCTGAATGCTGTAGTGCTCCTGTAATAGTTGTTGTTAAGTGCTGTTGAGTTGGTTCAAACCCATAGTGACCCTGTATGAGGTTTCCAAGGAGAGGCTGGTGAGCTTGAATCACCGACCTTGTGGTTCAAACCGATTTTGCAGTCCAGCACATTAGTCCACAGTGCCACACTTGGAAATCCTGTGGGGGTTGCTATGAGTAGGCATTGACTCAATGGTGGTGAGTATGGTTTGGGATATATTTTTAAAGAGAAGCAAGCCAGCCATGGGAAATGAGGAGGTTGGAGTGTCCAAAAGATTATTCAAGCCTAGGGATGAGATCATGACTTTCTAAGTGGTGCTTTCTAAGTTTGGGAGAAGTTTGCTGTTGGTAACACTGGTTGGGGTCAGAATTAAGAGCTAATGAAATTCAGAATACTATCAAGAGCATAGACACTATTTCCTTCTGGCCCCTGTCCTTATTCTTGTCTTACACTCAACTGGTCACATGGTCACATGGTCTGCTTTCAGGGGCTGCCCCAGCTCAGAGTCACCCCCGTGCATTCCAACACAACTTCTCTAGCATCTTTTACATCAAAATAAGATACCAGCTCATAAATGAGGGCCATTGCAGGAAACTGTTCATCAAAATGTTATGCTATCTATTATTATTGTGGGGGGAAAAAATCACTGCATGACCCAAGAGTGCATTTGCATGACATTGAAATTGTCACTATTTTGCATCTATGGTGAAAAATGTAATGAAAATATCTCAGGTTTTTAAAACAATATAGTTTTCCAAGTTAATCCAGCTCTCATAAAGAAAGTTCTCATTTCCAGTCCAACCATGTTCTTCTCCCACTTCCACTAATAAACCAGAAGGCCCCTGTGGTACTTTGTGGCCAGGTCAGTTTCGGCATAAGTTCAAACAGACTCGAAGTCTCTCTGCCAGGCTGAATATCTCTGAGTTAGATTCTTTGCTGAAGGTTTTGTGTGGGCCAGTACATCCAGAAAATCGGCAGTGGTCACAGTGTCCAGCTGGATGGCAGGTAGGTTACTGCTCTCTAGATAAAAACAAAACAGTAACAGCACAACAATCGATCCGTGGTGATCAATGCTATTCAAATGCTAATAGACCTTTCAAGACAATGCATAATGCAGCATACTTAATGGTTAATGCAACAAAAGGCAAGACTAAAAAGGGTGGAAAGAAAATTCTTTTAATGTGCAACCAAGTTAGCCCCTGAAGCCTTGACACACCCTGCCCCCCAAATAAGTGACTTAAATGTGTTGTTATCAAAGTATTATTTAATATTTATATAGTACCTTCAGTGGATCCAGCCAACATCATAGCGTGCCAGAGAAATAAAAGCCTCAACCCTAAGAGTTTATCATCTGCAGGCAAAGCCAATCCAAAATGGGCCACCTGAGGGGGAATGGGCTGAGTGCACGAGGGATGATTTAATCGACAACACGTTGCAGAGAGACCCACCAAGAACAGGAGCAGGGCTCCATCTGCTGGTGAGAGTTGGATTTTTAAACACATTTCTCCCCACAGCACCTACTTGATTCTGCCATACCTGACTGGTGGCTTTCGAGGGTACTGAAGATTTTTCTCACAGGTCGCATGGCTGCCTCCCTGCAGACAAGCTTGATGTCTGAGCCTGAGTAGCCCTCAGTCTCCTGAAATAGCCATAAATCCAGTTGCTGGTCAGCAAGCCGAGTGGATGGTAATAACATTCACGGAGGCAAAACCTCATGTCAGGGTCCCCTATTTAAATACTGTACCTGTCGCCCATGAACACCTTATGAGATTCCAGATAAGTAGTGCTTGGGGGCAACTTCCTAAGACCTCCTATACATATGCCGCAAAATGCTGGCGGAGGACTGGTCAGGTCAGGCTACCCAAGTCAGCCCAAGGGGACCTTGTGCCCAAATTCAAGAATGCTCAGGTTTCTCAGGCACTGTTGTTCTTGTAGCTAAAGTCATACTTGCCTTTGAGGAATTGTTGTTGTTGTTAAGTGCTGTCGAGTCGGTTCTGACCCATAACGACCCTGAATATCAGAGGTCAAAAGTGTTCAAGTGTCCACCCAAAGCAGGCAACTCTCCTACAAGACCCTGGGCACTGAGGATCACAAACATGTACCTAGAGCTTTTCTGAGGGCAAATGACTTTCACTTTATCTTCACAGGAATCCTCTGAAGTCATCTCTGTGACCTCATTTCTAAGATGAAGCAGCGGAGGCTCCAAAATTGACTTTTGTGAGGTCACCCAGCTGATAACTGGCAGGACCAGGATGTGACCAGAGGGTCTCTGATTCTAAACTCATTGCTATTCCCACTACGGCATAGTCTTTCTCTCTGCTTGAATGTTTCCACGGAATGGAGAGCTCACTCATTCATGAAGAAACAGGCCTATTGCATTGCTGGGACAGCCTGGGTCTTTCCCAAGTGTCTGGAGTGAAGAGGCTTATGATAAGACTCTGTCTAGACGGCTGTCATGTGGTGGACCCTGGGCCTGCAGATGTGTCCCTCCAGGGGCAAAGCTCGGCAGTTACCTGGCTCAGCACTCCATACTCCAACTCCGTGCGCAGCTCCAGGGCTCCGCTCTTGCTCACAGGGGGCAGCCAGTGTCGGATCATAGCCTGCCTGGCCTGCTGGTTGGGGAGGTCAACCAAAATCCTCTTCTCCAGGCGACGTAGCATGGCACAATCCAGCTCCCTGAAATCACATCAGAAACTGCGGGTTTGGATGGGACAGTCAACACACTTCTTAGCTGGCAGCTCTGTTTTAGCAACAGTTGAGCATCGTTCCATTGCAGGAAACAATTCTGCATTTCCATTCTTACTCAATATCTATACCTGAGTGGGTAGGACAATTCATGCTGTTTTGGGAGAAAAGAATTTGTTAAACAAAGAAAAGGAAAGAAAGAAACTATACCTTCCAGAAAGTCTCATGTCAAGGAAGTAATTTTAAGTGATTAAATTTGGAGGGGGGGGGGTGGGATGGAATCCAACTAATAACCAAGCAGAGAGGCACTCCCATTGCACTTGTGACCTGAATTATTCAATCTCATCCGGCCAATGAGTAAATCATTCCTGAAAATTACGTGGGCACTCTAGGAAGTACATTCACTCTTTCAAAACCCTCATATATTCTGGAGTGCATGCCTGTCTCCCTCCATTGCTGTGGTGAACTCAGTGAATTTCCCTTCCAGGATGCCCAAGTCCTTTGGGGTTCTCGCTCATTCATTCTTGTTCCTCCCAAAGCAGTCAGGCCAGGTTTATGTAATTCTACAGGTCATTTCACTAAGCTGTTTGTTGCTGTTGTTGTTGAGAAGATACATAGAAAAACATACACCAATTCAACAGCTTTAAGATGTATAATTCAGTGACGTTGATGACATTCTTTGAGTTCTCATCCTCCTTTTCTGAGTTGGTCCTTCTCCTTTGACAAAAACTCACTGCCCACTAAGCTTCTGATCTAATCTTTCGAGATGTTACTGTCAATGTGATCCACAGACACAGGTCATGAGAGAAGACAATGTCTGTTCAAGCAGACATTCTTTCTTAGTTAAACTACTGTTTGCTTTTAACTTTCTATTCTGAACTGGGTGAAGGTTTACAGAGCAATTTTACATTCAACATACGTATCTCATTGATTGCAAATCCCTCGATGTAACATAATTTATCCCACTTCCTCCCTGTGTTTGTTTTCATTGCTCCTTCTTTCCCAACCCTTCTGAACCTTGTCCTTGGGGAAATGCTGCCCTTTGGCTCTCTAATAGTTGACCATTCTATGAAGACACACGTTCCCATGGCTCATCTGTCCACTGGACTAATTGTTTCCATGTGTCTTCAATTTTCATCACTCTTCTTACCTCCCGATAGTGAGAGACCACTAGTTGCACCTTAGATGGCTACTCAAGAGCTTTTAAGACCCCAATTAATATTCACCAAGGTAGCTGTAGAACACTGTCTTTGTGGAATGTTATGTCGCTTGACCATGGTGTCCCCTGAGACTATATGGTCTTGAATCTCCAGACCCAGGGATATATTTGCAGCAAAGGTAATTGTTGTTAGTTGGTGGCAACTAACAACAACAATTACCTTTGCTGCAAATATATCCATGATTGTGGTGGATCATACAGAGAGCAAAGTTATGAAAATATTTTAGACCTAACCAAATACTTTGAAGGAAGGAGTCGCTGAGTCTGGACATTGAGTTGTTCTTCTGGCAGTCCATGGTCCATGGTACCTTTAATATTTTTCTCCAACACCATAATTCAAACGCATCAATTCTTCTATGGTCTTCCTTATTTGTTGTCCAATTTACACATGCAGGTGAAGCTGTTGAAAATACCATGCATGGTTTGGGTCACTTTAGTCCTGAAACTGACATCTTTGCTCGTCAACACTTTAAAAAGGTCTTGTTTAAACAGCAGCTTTGCCTAATGCATTTGATTTCTTGACTGTTGCTTCCATGAGTGTTGATAGTAGATCCAAGTAAAATGAAGTTTTTAACAACTTCAATCTTTTCTCCATTTATCATATTAGTTACTGGTCCAATGGTGAGGATTTCTGTTTTCTTTACACTGAGATGCAACTCATACTGAAGGCTGTGGTCTTTGATCTTCATCAGTAAGGATTTTAAGACCTCTTCACTTTCAGCAAGCAAGGTTGTGTTATCGGCATATCGCAATCCTGATGCCACATTCTCCTTCATATAATCCAGTTCTCGGATTATTGCTCACCATACAGATTGAATTAAGTACGTGAAAGGATACAGACCAAAGATAATACCCATGTGCAGATCCCAGTCCTGTATATATTTGGGAGTATACTCCCACTCTCCTTCCCATACCCACTCAATTGCATGTCTATCCATGTATCTACCCATTGTTTGGTGGCATCAAGTTGTTTCTGACTCATAAGATTTCTGAGGCTTTTAAATATTGGTGGAAGCAGAAAGCCTCATCTTTCTCCTGCAGAGTGGCTGGTAGGCTCAAATTGCTGACCTTGTGGTTCAGAGTCCAGTGCTCATCCTATGGAGCCACTGTGTAGATCACTGTTATTGCAGGATTATGTCTATAACAGTATTTCCCTCTATTGTTTTTAACTCTTTTACTTCTTCTCTGTGTCTTCCCCTGTCTCCATCTCTTTCTTTGTTTCTTTCCATTTTTCCCCCTTATATTGAAGGAGCTCTGGTGGAAATGATCCTTGCTGTAAAGATTTGTTCCCTCTTTTGAGCTACTGCATCCATAGGTGTAGGTCAAGTTCATCAAATTGTATCAGATTACTCTGGTTTTCCTCTTCTTTCTTCTTCTAGTTGAGCTCTGATCATCCAGTCATTGAAGCCAGGTCAAGTGGGTATCTGTAAGTGTGTATACCAACCATCTTGACTGAGCAACAGTTAACATTTTGCCAAATCTGCTTCATATTGATTATGTCTATTCTTGCTAAAATATTTCAAAATAAATTGCATCATGAAACATCACCCCTAAATGCTTGAGCATGCATTTCCCAAAACTGACTCTGATTACATGGTATGACTAATATTCAATCCACATGCAGATTTCTCCATTCATCTTCAAGCTAACTTTTATCATTCTGTCCAGCCAGAATCTAATCAAAGATCATGCATTACCAGTGGGTATGTCTCTTTTAATCTAGGCCAGTCTCCTTGCCCTGGCCTCATTTTCAGAAGACTGGGTCAGTTGTAGAATGAACCATGTCCTGGATTTGTTGGGTCCCCTCTTGGCAACATGTAACTTGTTCTTTTCCCCACTGCTCTTTAAGACCACCACACGTCTGTCAGTTTGTCAGTGGCTTGTGAGTCGCTGTGATTCTGGCAGCTATGTCACTGGTATTTTACATACCAGCCGGGAATGACAAATTGAAGAGGAATGGTATTGCATTCATTGTCAAAAAGAACATATCCAGATCAGTCATGAACTACAACACTGTCTGTGGGATAGTGGATAATATCCATGCGCCTACAGGGAAGCCCAGTTAATACCACTATTATTCAAATTTATGCACCAACCACTAAAGCCAGTGAGGATGAGATAGAAGAATTCTACCAACTTCTTCAATCTGAAATCGATCAAACATGCAATCAAGATGTACTGATTATTACTGGTGATTGGAATGCAAAGAGGAAGCATCAGTAGTTGGAAAATATGGCCTTGGTGATAGAAATGATGCTGGAGATTGCATGATAGAATTCTGCAAAATCAATGATTTGCTCATTTCAAATAGCTTCTTTAGACAGCATAAGAGACGACTATACACATGGACCTCAACAGAAAATTAACTGGCAGACATGCAAAGGTGATTTCTGTGACAGCAGTAAAGAAAGCTGAGAAACAATCTGATTTGAATGGCAGAATCCCCAAGCAACTCAGGTTTGGCAGTATCTGGCTAAGTGCACTTTCAGAGCCGTGAGGGTGAAAGTTGGTAGAAAACAGGAGGATTGGTATAAAGTTTGTACAAGAAACAGCTCGATTCGGGATTTCCTTCCCACACCAATGGCAGGAGAGCTGCCCTCCGACATCCTGTAGAGGCTAAAATAAAGGGTCTCTGGAATGGAGAACACCAGGCAAGTTGAGAATGGAGTACTATAGTGACAACAGGACTTTCTTTCCCTAGATTATTGGCAGTTAAGCTCCAGGCAGATTACAAGAATCTTCACTGGGGATTCTTACCAGACAATGAGAAAGACCTAAAGATGTTGATGCTGGGCTTCCCCAACAAAGCGTACCAGCAGAAACCCCACTATGGAGTCCTCAGTTGACAAGCCCCTCTTATCTGCATATAGCCTCTCATAAACAGGTTGCCAAGGAGACCTACATCTATGGGAAGTTTCTAATATGAAGACTGAGCAAAGTAAGTAAACAGGGTGGTCCCGGTGAGGAGCACCTTTGTTGTTGGTACGTGCCATCGAGTTGGTTCCGACTCATAATGACCCTGTATAGGATTTCTGAGGAGTGGCTGGTGGGTTTGAACTTCCGACCCTGTGGTTCAAACCAACCTTGTGGTCCAGTGCTTATCTCACAGCACTACACCAGAACTCCGGGAGCACCTTTAAGGAAACAGAAATATTCAGGGAGATGAAAACTTTAAAAAATGTGATTACTATTATCAGAGAGATATAAGAAAATACTGCATCTATAAAACAAGAACCAAATGCAATATAAAAAGAATACTTAGACATAGGAAAACAAAATAACTCCGGAACACAAGATAAGACAGGAGAAATTTAAACACAATAGAAAGATTAGAAGATAAAGCTAAGGACATCTGCCAGAAAGCAGGACATGAAATACACATACACACAGAAATATAATCGAAAGGAGAAAGAAAAAAAAAATTTGTTGTTATTATTATTATTTTTTAATCAAAACCTTAGTCCAGGAAGATCAACTTACAAATAATATGAGTTGCTGAAAAAGAACAGAGAAAACAGAGGATTTCATCAGTTAAATAATTCAGGAAGACTTCGCAGAGCTATAAGAAATGTTTTTCTGGATTCTAAATATTGATAAAAATTAATTCTTAAATAACAGTTAAGTGGCAGGTAGGATTTTAAGTATTTTACAGATATTAATTCCTTTATGTCTAAATAGTATTTAGTAAAAAGGATTCCTGGTGTGGCCCACAAGGCCAGCACTTAACAACAACAATTCCTTTAATCCTCGCAACCACCCTATCATTATCCCA